TTAACATGCTTTCGAAAAGAAGAGATTGTTTAATTGCTGATAACGAAGAGCCTCTCTTCAAATAAGTGTTTCACCTACTGATAGAGATTTTTGTGGTTCTTATGGCTTGATAGTGATAGTCAACTGAAAGTGTACAGGCACTGCCGTGTAGTTTTTGGTGTAGCAGGTAGCCCTTTTCTTCTAAATTCTACTATTCAGCTTCACCTACAAACTGTTTTAGAGAAAATAAAACCGGTGATCCTTATACAGTCAAAAGTCGTTAATCCGGACTCGTTGGGACTTCGGCGATTCCGGATTATAGATCATCAGTTTAAATCTCGTAAGATGGCATGCAGAAATTCTAAAAATTAAAAATATGAAAACAGTAATTTATGAAATAAGAACAATTATGATCTAAAGGGTATCAAAATTTGCAAAAAGAAAAAGCTTAATATTTATTTGTTTACTTTATTAAACATTTCTTTCAATGTAAGTTTTGTTTAAGTTTTGCTTCGTTTCATGTGATAATACTTTCTCTTTAATTCTATTAAACAGACATATTTCTTGTTCAGTTACAAAGGTTCCACTGTTCAAGTCCTATAATTGCTGTGTCGAGAACACACCGACTAATTTGTCAATCGAAATTTTTTTTCGTTTTCAATAACCTCTGTTCACTTTCTTCGCTATCGGAAGCGAATTATAATGACGAGGAACTTGTTTTAAATCATATCAAAGACGGAGTGCATATCGAGATGAAATACTACATTTGGTAAGGAATTATAAGCCAAATAAAATAAAAACATCTGTGCTGAAGATAAGGATAGTGCTGACAGATCAACTTCCAATTCATTAGTGCGCCCCCGCGCGGCATTCCCCCCGCCGAAGCAGCGTGAAATTGATAAACAGATTTCGGATTTCAAAACATACTTTCGCTTTAGATCCTTTACATATTAACAAATATATATCGGAAATTCTATTTGATATAATCGAAAGTTTAAGCTTACTTTTATAAATTGCTCTTACAGTCTGCAAAAAATAATAAGCCGGATCCAATTCGAAAATTAAGGAACAACGCAATCATCAACATTAACTGAAATAGATAATTAGATAATTTTAGCTTATACGTCCATTATACATAAAGCGCGCACGCGAAAACGTATTCTGCACTTGCGCACACTCATATGCGCAGTCGTAAAAGGTCTTATGTGCACGCGTAAACGCCTATGCACATGTGTCAACGCGGCGCATGCGCAGAAAGTTTTTAGTTTTGAGGTCCGGATTATAGATCATTCCGAATTATGGGTGTCCGAATTAACGACTTTTGACAGTATACGAAAGGTGTCATTCAAAAACTTATGCATAGTTTTTATGTTGACAATTGTGTCAGTTGTGTTAAAAATGAAGAAGACTCAATCATTTTATTAGTGTATTACTGAGGTAATGGCTGAGAGAAAATTTAAACTTAGAGGGTGGGAGTTCAATGATATTAATGCCGATGCTTCTGCTGATACAAATGTGCTCGGTTTATTATGGAATAAAAAATCAGAGACTAAGAATAAATACTGGTAGTATAAAAGAGTTATGTTTTGAAAAAGTGACTAAGCGCTTAATCTTATCTACAGCTCATAGTGTTTGATCCTCTTGGTATGTGTTGTCCTGTTATCCTTATCCCTAAGTTATTACTTCAAGAAACTTGGAAGCAGAAGATAACATGCAATAAAGAAGTTGATGCCTGTACGAGAACTACATTTTAAAAATGGTTGAAAGATATTGACTATCTGGAAAAGATCCATTTTCCAAGATATTTTGTTCAAGGAGTACGAGTGAAAATACTTCAGTACATATTTTCTGTGATGCCAGTAAGCATGCTTATGCCGTGGCTGCTTTCATTCGTATAAAAACTCTTGATTCTACTAAAGTACAACTGATACAAGCCAGGAGTAGAGTTACACCAACTGGAAAAGAAGAAACTACTATCGCGAGATTGGAATTACTTGCAGCTACTATAGCATCTCGCCTTTCGTCCTCAATTTTGTCTGAGATACAGAGTGAAGAAGTTTACTTCTGGACTGATTCTTCTACTGCTTTAGCCTGGATAACGAGAGAAGAAGCCTGGAGTGTATTTGTCCAGAATAGGGTGAAGGAAATAAGAAGACTAACAAATAAAGATTCTTGGAGACATATTCCTGGTTGCATGAATCCAGCTGATCTTCCGAGTAGAGGTCGTTCAGCCTTCTCCTTATTGAAATCTCAGTGGTGGTTAGGTCCAAGTTGGCTTTACTTGCCTGAAGAAGATTGGCCTAAAGGTGACTTAAATTTAGATGAGACTGAGATTGTTAGAGAAAAGAAAAAGAGCATAGTTTCTTCTGTAACAAAATGTTTACTTTCTGCTTGCTTGGTTACCAAGAGAGACTGGTATTTAACAGATATTTTTCTCAATACAAAAGGATAGTTAATCTAATTGCCTGGATCCTAAGATTCACCTCCAATTGTCGAACTGAAAAAAACAGTGAGAAAGCATGGAAACCTTGATTCTGATGAAATTTTTGAGGCTGAGAAGTTATTGATCAAAATGGTTCAAGACGATTGTTTTGTGAATGAAAAGGATGAGATATTAAGAACTTTAGGAGTATTCAAGGATCAATGTGGAATCCTCAGACTAAAAACTAAACTTACCTTTCGTGAAGATACAGAAGACTTTAAAAAGCCAGCTATTCTTCCATCCAATCATGAGGTTGTCAAGAGACTAATGCGATACTATCATGAGAAAAATGCACATGCTGGTACTCAAATTTTAATAAATATTCTACGAGAGAGATTTTGGAATCTGAATGCTCGTAAAACTGTGAGATCTATCATCAATCAATGCACAGTGTGTAGAAGATTTTCTGAAAAGAACCTAGAAACTTGTACTGGGGCTCCTCCAGAAGATAGATTACGAGAAGCAGCTGTATTTGAAATCTGTGGAGTTGATCTTGCGGGACCAGTAATCCTGAAAGGCAACAAAAAATCTTGGGTTTGTTTATTCACCTGCGCTATTTATAGGGTAGTCCATTTAAAGTTGGTTGAATCGATGTCTACCGAGAGTTTTCTACTAGCTCTTAGAAGATTTAGAGCTCATAGAGGACGGAGCAGAATCATATACTGTGACAACGGAACCAATTTTGTTGGTGCTTCAAATGTACTTCAAGACTTAAACTGGAAGCAAATCACTGAAGACACATCTATACCACCAATTCAGTGGAAGTTCAACCCACCAACTGCCTCCTGGTGGGGAGGCTGGTGGGAGAGATTGATAGGAATTCTTAAGAAATTGCTGAGACGAGTATTAGGAGGAGCTTCGCTAACTTCTGAAGAAATGAACACGACTCTCTGTGACTGTGAAGCAGTAATTAATTCCCGTCCATTGACATATGTAACTGAAAGTGATGCTACTTTAATGCCTTTAAGTCCATCTCTATTTCTGCAAGGTAATCAAATAAGTGGTGTTCCAGATCTTGATGACATTGGGCATAAAAGTCTTAATAAGTGAGTCAAATATAAAGAAAACTTGCAAAAGGATTTGAGAAACAGGTTTAGGTCTGAATGTTTAGGAGCACTTATTCAAAAAGCAGGAAACAAAAAATCTGTGAAAGTGAATATTGGTGATATGGTATTGATAGGAAGTGATAACACCAAGCGAATCAATTGGCCATTAGGTAAAATAATTCAGATTCTTCCAGGAAAAGATGGAATTACAAGACTTGTCAAGCTTAAAATAGCTAATGGACACTTGCTAAGACCAATTCAAAGATTGTATCCACTTAAAGTTTCCAACGACGATCCCATTATTGAGAAATTTTCAACCGCGAAGGTGGGAGGTGAAACCTGTGCCAATTCTTCCTTTGATAACGTGTGTGGACTTGAACCTCAGATTCAAAAGACTAGAGCAGGTCGTACAATCAAAGTACCTAAGAGACTGGACTTATGAACTACTTATAATTTTCTTTTTGTAACTTATAAAATATTCACAATTTTCTTTTGTAAGTTAAATTTTTGAGGTAAAAATATTAACTTAGGTAGGAGAATCTCTACCTGATTATTATTTTTATTTTGATGTAATTTAGTAAATCGTGATTGGCAACAGTTGAGTTTTTACATCTACGCTTTCGAGTTTGTTCTATAGTTTTACTTTTCGTTTTAAGTAATGAGAAAAATGACTTTTTGAGATGTTTTTCATGAGTATTTAAAAACTGATGAGTAATATTTTATGCCATTTATGTTCTGAGTATTGCTTTGAGGTGTCAAAGCTAAAACTAACACTTAATTAGACTTGTAAATAGAACCGTAATATTAAACTGTTTGTGTTGTGACGAGAATTCTTTCATTAGATAATTGATTGTATACTCATTTTCCATCAAAATTCTTCTGATATCGAAGGTAAAACGGGATAGTGGCAATAATCACTTTAGAAAGGAAATGTTTTGAAATCAGTGCTTGTTTATGTTCTTACATCAAATGGCTACTTAAAGATATAGTTCTCATAAGTAGATAGTTGCACTGAGGGGACTATTTTCATGAGGTTTTCTTTCCAAGTTTTAAGTATTCAGATAAATTTAAGAATTCATTCATACAGTCCATTAATAATATTTCCCTTTCCTTATAATTCAATTCTAGATTCTTATTTCTGAAAGCATTTGCAACTCTACATGTTGCACCGAATTCTTCTATGAAGATGAGGTTCATTATTTATTACTTTTTGGAAGACTATAGGTGTGTGGGCATAACTTCTTTTTTTATTAGTAGAACTTCAGATCAACTGGAAAAATATATAAGTAACTAAATCACAGCAGCACGATTTTTTGGCAATCCCTTTTGCATGAAAATTTTCAGGACTAAGTTTAGTTACCTTGTTTTTAGTTTGTTTTTTTCTAATTTGCATTCACTAGACTTGCGGAGAAATAAAGCCAAAGCAATCCATTATTTCCACATATACAATACTTTGCTCCTTTCCCCCCAAAAGATGAGTATCTCAATGTTCATACAATCAGGGTTGCTACTCAAACAGGTAAATGAAATTCCCTGACTTTTCCAGGTTTTCCATGTGTATTTTAAAGAAAACTCCAGTCTAGCCGCGCAGTATGCGTTGGCTGCGCTGAGAGGTAAATTAATTATGGAACCACTCGAAAACACAAAAATTTGCCAATTACATATGACTGATGATTATATACACAATGTTTAAAAAAAGAATATACGTATTACAAAGTGTTATTTTGTACAAACTATCAATCACTGTGCCTTGGCTCTGCTATTGGGGAAACGAATACAGTCTAGTTTATATTAATAGCTGCTAGATGTCAGTTGTCTTCTGTTTTATGTGGTAACCGTCACATGTTTAAAATGGCTACTCCACAGCAAAAATCATTTAGTGTTCTTGAGTTTACGAAGCGCAATTCTGTAATTACAGTGCAAAGATGTTTCAAACTAAGGAACCAAAGTGATCCTCCAAATGGGTGGAACATTCGCAGATAGTATCGACAGTTTGTAAATAGAGAATGTGTATGTAAAGGAAAGAGTCCTGGCCACCCTCGTGTTCCCGATGTAAATGTTGCACAAATTCAAACTGCTTTACAACGTAGTCCTTCAAAATCAACTCATCATGCCAGTCGGGAGTTACAACTGCCTTCAACAATTTGGTGTGTTTTGAGACGTCAGTTGGTTATAAAGCTGTACAAGTTACATTTGTTACAGGCTCAGTGTCCTGATGACAAATGCAAATGTGTGGCATTTGGTAACGAGATTATTGATGCTATTGACAATGCTAACGCTTTCGCACAACGTGTTCAATGATGAATCGACTATTCATGTTAGTGGTCACGTAAACAAACACAATGTTCGAATTTGAGGCCTGCAGAACCCACATGCAGCCATTGAACATGTACGAGATTCGCCCAAAATCAATGTGTTTTGTGCGATATCCCGATCATCTGTTTTACGGCCCATTCTTCTTTGAGGAAACACGGTTAACGGTCATGCTATGTTACAAAACTGGTTGTTTCCAAGGCTGCAGGAAGAGAACTTCATTTTTCAACAAGATGGGACACTATCTCACTGTCACCAAGTACGTGATTATCTGAATGAAATTCTACCAAACTGTTGGATTGGTTGTCAAGGAGCTGGCGACTTAGCATGTCTCAGCTGGCCTCTATGGTCACTGGATTCGACACCCTGTGATTTCTTTCTGTGGGGTTTCATTAAAGACAATGTTTATGTACCACCACTACCACAGAACCTGGAAGAGGTGAAGAACCGGATCTGTACTGTCATAACATCAGTGATAATGGACATGCTTGCCCGAGTATGGGAAGAACTTGAGTATCAATGTGATATTGTTCGTGTCGCTGATGGAGGGCATATTGAACATCTGTAATCTGAATTTGAGAGGTTCTCACATATGTGTGTAAAGTTTCATATTCATATGTCATACAGTTTAATAAATATATGCATTCGAAATACGTACATTCTTTTTGAAACACGCTGTATATATATTCCCAGAGCATTACTATTGTTTCTGCACTGAAGATTGAGATTAAAATCTGCAGACATTTTGCAGCTAAACGGAAGAAAGAAATCTATTAACGATATTTTAAAATAAGTTCAGGTATTTTATATTTATTTAGCAGCACACATAAGCAAAAAATATGTGCATTAAATTTTGTGATAGTATGTCATCATACTGCTAGAATTAGTTTCAGGATTATGCCAGAGAATTGCCTTAAGTTTGAAAGTATTATTAACTAATAATAAATAAATTTAGAAAGAAGAAGCAACATTAAAAGATATGAATAAGATTAAAATAAAGTTAATTACTTAAAAATTGAATTGCAATAATCAACGATTTTTTGGCACATATAGTGATATTAAATGTTTAGCCTAGATGCCTTATTACAATTTTTTTATTTTACTGCAAAATGACAACGCATTTATTAAAAATGAAAAAAAAAGTTTAAAAGATTTTGTGGCAAAATCCTAGTATACGCCACGGCCTTGGCACGATTTTGAAAATTGTTGCCAACAGAAAAATGACCCGTTTACTGCTCCTCATAATGGTGCCAAAATCCAATGTATTAGGATTAAACCTATTTTGTTTTATACGAGAATGGGAAGGTATTTTCTTTAGTTCTCTCAATTATCGAGGTTACTGGAACCTCGCTTTGACTTTCTAAAAGACAATCTGATTGGAGCTGCAAAAATTGGCTTTAAGCCAGCTGCTTGAATGATGCTCACACGGAACAATTTGCAAGAAAGCGATCGCTTCCAATGTTGGCGCAAAACTCGCTTTTTTGGGGATTGCTATATGAAATTTTTCGACTTTTCCAGGTTTTGAGTAAAATATTTAAATTCCCTGACTTTTGCTAGTTTGGTACATTTATATTTACCGTATTGGCAACACCAAGTTCTCTCTTCTCTGTATGCGAGCTATGGATGCCGATGTAAATGTTGTGCACGTGTTGTTAAGTTTCAATAAAAAATGTGAAAAGATACGTTTCTTATTTTTCGATTTGCTTCTTCATATGACATCGATTTATTTAACATGGTAGCAGTTCTTGTGGTTTGTGAATATGAATGAAGAATTTAGTAGTTATAATTTGTTTTAAAAGTTACCGGTACTAGCGTAAAAATGGCATGTACAAGAAGCAGCGATATCGGAATACCGCTATTTGATGGTTCGGACTATTTTAATTGGAAAGTGCGTATGATGAAATTTCTTCAATTTAAAAAGTGTAAAGATGTGGTTCAGCAAAAAGTCAGTGAAAACGATGACGTGGAAGAAAAGGATATCCAAGCTACAAATTACATTTACGGCACCATAACAAACAAACAGTTGGAATATATTCATGAGTGTGAGACTGCATTTGATATAATTGCGAAATTTGATGCAATGTATTTAAAAACTTCAACATCTCAACAAATTGTTTGTCGAAATAACTTGAAATGTGTGAAATTAAAAAATTATCCTGATGTAAATATATTTTTCGATGATTTTGAGAAGTATGTGAATGAACTGAAACATGCCAGCGCCACCGTGATGGAACAAGAAAAATTGAACTATATGCTAAAAGCATTACCTTCAAATTACAGTCACATTAGTGACTTAATAGATGTATTACCAGAGAAGGACAGAACAGTCAATTACCTAAAGAGCAAAATCAAATCAAAATTACTTGAAGAGAAAAATGATTATGAAGATTGTGCACCAGCAGAAAAATCAAATTTGTTCAAAATCAAAACAAGCAAATCGGGTCCACAAGGGAATGTCTGTTATAATTGTGGAAAACCTGGTCACATTAAAAAGAATTGTTGGCATGTCCATCAAAGGAACTATCGTGGTAATGGCTCCACTAATTATCGCGTGGTCGAAGTTGCTTCAAACAATCGAGGACGTAGTCGTGCTTTTAGTGGACATCGTGAACGTGGAGCATACTCTAACCACAAGAATAAACAGTTCATCAAGGCAATAGTTTTCACACCTACCATTGTTACCGAAAGTAA